TTTTATATTTACAGTGTATGTGGTGATTGGTTTGTTTGTTTTGGCGGGCACTGCTGGACTCTACGCGTGTCTGGAACCTCTTTGGAGAAGAATACCATGGGAGACAAGGTATTTAGTGGGTTTATTATTTTAAAATAAATTTTGAGGTCATGAGATTTTTTTTAGCATGTCAGTAACATGAAATTTTTTTTTTTGTAAGCACATGTACATGAACTCTGTCATAGATATAAATTTTTTATGCCCATATAATCCACATTTAAGTTAAATTTTATTAAAGCTCAACCATAGCTATTTCTGTATTTTCATAATTTGATACAATTTTTTTTAAATTTCAGATTACCTGCTAACAAAATTCCATTCTTGAGACATCGACCATTTTATAGGGACATCATTCTGTTTTTTATGTGTTTGAGTCTAGCCGTGTTTTGGGCAATTCAAAGAAAAGAGAGGTATATCTGGCAAAGTTAACAGTATTTTATACTTGCTAAAAATTTATGTACCGCTAGAAATATCCCGAAACACTGTATTATGGATTTCATAAATATCTGAGGCCCATTAGCAGGGTAATAAAAAATGCAGAGTTTTGATGCAAATTCATTCCAGATACACAAGTATTTATCTGCAAGTTCACTAATTTCACTTTACCTTTGAAGGTAGTGCATCAGAATTTGTCAATTTGATATATGTTTCATTACTTTCAAATACTATTAAAATGTAAATTAATGTAATAATGCTATAATGATAAACCTCATTTTTCTGATCATAATGTTACCCATTTTTAAATTATTTTCAGTTATGCCTGGGTTATACAAGACATCTTGGGTGTGGCATTCTGTATTAATATGCTGAAGACCTTACACTTGCCCAATTTAAAGGTAATATGTAATAACAGACAAGAGCATAAAGTTGTTTCATGAACTAATTGCCAGGCATAAAAAGTTCAGAGGAAAAAAAAAATAAAATACAGTATATATGAAATGAACATAATAGATATGGAAATGAAATAGTAACTTATTCTGAAAAAAAAAAATATTAGAATTGAAAAGTTTACTGGTTATTTATGATACACGCGTATTTTTAACAAATATATTTTGAATTATGCCTTTAACTTGAAAACATTAATGTTTATGTTTTTTTTCCAGATCTGTGTCATACTTATGGTGCTGTTATTTTTGTATGACATTTTCTTCGTCTTCATAACCCCCTACTTTACCTCAGTAAGTCAAATACTTTTCTTATTCAGAAAACAATCCAAGCAAAATATAGGTTTTACTATTTTCACAACATGACATTAAATCAATGTAAATGCATCTATTAGGCACAATCATTATGTTTGGTACCAGATCATTTCTCAATTGAATAAAAATAACAATTAGTAGATGAATTCATTTTACAATTAGATTTAAAAGTAGTATACTTAGACATTTAGTAAAGTTTCAAATTATACTTCTGCTTTTCTTCTTGCAAATCAAATTTTTTATGAAATTTCTAATTTTAGAATGGAGAGAGTGTGATGGTAAAGGTAGCCACGGGGGGGTCATCAGAGGGGTCGTCGTCAGGGGAACAGATACCCATGGTGTTTAAGGTTCCTCGCCTTGGCAGCGCGCTGATGAACGTATGTAATCTGCCATACTCGTTACTAGGATTTGGTGACATAATTGTTCCTGGTAGGTTTAAAGTTTTGGGAAAAATGTTCCTTATGAACAAAGGGCAGTAACTCTTCGATTTGTTTCATAAAATGATTTTTTGATGCATGTACTATAAATTTTTCATTGCTCTGTAACCTTTTGTTTGAAAAAAAACTTTTTAAATTTACTATTAATAGCAAGATACTTAATGCATCCCTTCGTGATGTTATCATTTTATCTAGAATTCTCACTGAAAAAAATATCAATTTCTTTATCAGTCAGTTTGTTTTGGTTTCATTTTTCATGCAATACGTTGTATATCCATTAGTGAACTCTTCAGAATTAGAGGCGCGTTTGGTCGTCTGACTGGGACAGCATGGCGTTAACGGTTATGCCAGTCTCAATCCAATTTTAAATGTTAAGTGCCATTCTAACTAAAGAATAGAAGAACTAAAAGACATACGTGAAAGAGCGAAAACCCTAACTTTATAGTCCATTAATTAAAAATACAACATTTCCGAGGTATGTATATTGTCTTTTAATGTACCATTATGATAAATAGATATATACGATCTCCAGTAGTTGTAAATTGATATCTTTTTCATCTCAACTCGTGATGTAAATAAAGTCCCCAACAATAAAATATTTCATATGCATTTTGTTAGGATTTGTTCATCAACATTCAACACGTTGTTTACATGTTTACAATACGTTTGTCCCAGAAATCCCGCGAGATTTGTACTTTCTCCGACTTTTTCACAAAAGAGCGCACTAAGATCTATAACTCTTCAATAGTGGAAATAGAACGTATTAGAATATGTCACAAAAAAATCTCTTCACTGATGATGCTGAGAAATACAATTAATTAAAAGTAATTTTTTCCTAGTCAAATTAAACTTTTGAATGAATACTAAAGAACTCGCATCATAACATAAAGATCGATTTTTCTTTTTTCAGGTGTACTGGTCAGTTATAACCACAGGTTTGACGTAAGAGTGGGCACCAGAAAGGTTTATTTTATAGCCACGGTTATAGGTAAGGTTCTGATTTATGATATCATAAGCTTTATAGCTTCCATATTAACATTTAATTGCACTGACATTGCATTTTTTATTTCTGGAATGATTAAGATAAATGGATTTATCAGATTCTATTTTACTGTAGCTATAAAAATATTTTTGAAACAGGATTTTTAAATATATGGATTTTTGACATGCGTGGATTTTTTCATTGCTGATAAATTTTTATTTTTTGGAAATATTCATGTTTTGAAATATGGAAGAACAATTACTTTGAATGTAACAATACAGAAGCAAATATGAAATCATGTTTTCCTGAAATGATAGCATAGGTACTGATTATTTTTCTAGAACCATGCCCCTTTCCCCTTTAGATCTAAAAAAGGGAACTTTTGTATTCAGCAATATAGAACATTTTAAAAACTCCATCAAAATAATTTTGTTTCTTAGGTCCACTGGTCAGCTATGATGCCCATTTCAAATTTACAATAACGATTTTATCCAATCATCTCTCTTGCAGCATATGCCCTTGGACTTGTGGTGACCTTCATTGCCCTTTATCTTATGGACAAAGGCCAACCAGCTTTGTTGTACCTTGTGCCATTTACTCTCGTAACAACATTTGTGATTGGCTGTATAAGAGGAGAAGCTGGCTCCCTTTGGACTGGTATTTTAAAACAGGTAAAGCATTACAATTTACAAATTTAAAATGACCTTTAATTTACTCCATCCTTTTTCAAATAATTCAATATTTACATAAAAAAAATAATTAAAATTATCTTTGATTTACTCCATCCTTTTCAGATAATTGAGTATTTATATAAAAACCTGAATTACCTGCACAGTGTGTTGCTTATATAATTATAGAATCATATGATTTTATATCATGATATTTTTTAAGGAACATGCAAGCTCACAGTCCCAAACCCAAACAGGGGTGTCTAGTGTAACAGCCAAGGCGGATGATCAGAACAGCAGCTGTAGCTCTTCCAGCGGAGGGAGTGAGAGCAGGCTGCTGATCAATAAGTGACTAATAGGGCGTGGATCCAGCAGCAAACACAGGAGCGTTGAAGATCTGTGATAATATAAACTGATTACTTTTTGTGCTTATAAAACACTGGGTTGTTAATCGTATAAACTGTATGCTCTGAAGAAGGGGGGTCAACATTATTGCTACATTGCAAACAATTTCACCTCCTCTATACTATTTCATTCTTTTGAAATTTCAGAAGATCATTACTGTAACAATTTATCTATCAAATTATTGACAATTGCAACTATTAATTATTTGCTACATATTCGAATCTGTCAGCAGTGGCATGGAAGATGATTTCTATTCTAGTCAGAAGGAAAAGAATAACAAGAATAAGAATATAGAAGCAAAACATAAAACTGAAACTCCTGAAGAACGACAGTTAAATAAACAAAAGACAAAAAAAAATTGGCAATGAAGTTGAAAAAAAAGTTTTAAGATAATATAAAATTTAAAATAAGCTGTGTAAAATCAATAATGTATATTTCTTGTTTTTTATCAGAAGACTGCATGCAGGTACATGTTTGAAGTCAATTTTTTTTTGTTTATAAGACTGTGAAAAAACAACCAAAACGTTTTATTCCTTAGGATTTTAATCACTTGATTAAATATTAATTTGCATATCTCCATTAGTAAAAAATTAATTTTCTTTCTTTTTTGCATATATGTATATATAATAATTTACTGGTAATAAATGCATTTGTTGGATTTGTTTAATTTTTATTAGCAAATTATCTTTGTTAAAGTATAACTGCAGAACTTTTATTTCATAGATAATAATCAAGAAACAGTTTTCAAGGTGAGCTGTTTTGTTAACAGTATATTTAAGGCTAGACTTACTGCTCTTTACTCACTGTTTTATCTTACGTGTTAATGTCATTATCCAGATAGTAAACTTCATGTCTCTGTTATTTTACATTTCAAGTAGAATTTTGGGTTGAAATGTTTTTTTTCTAATAAAAATTGTAAAACATTTAATAAGTATTTTTTACTTTTTGAATTGAGATGTTTTGCACCTGTTCCCTTTACTTTTTTTTTAAAATAATTACATATCAGCCTGAGCATTGCTGAGGGTATATTTTACTATGTCTAACTTCTTATCTAGGTAAGGTTAAAACCATTAAATGTTCTCTTTCCTACAGAGTTGTATGACATTTCTTTTTATATAAGATTAGGATACTCAGTAGGTTCCTGTTCCCAAGGAGAAATAAATTAACAGTAAATTAATTGGTATAACTAAAGTGAATTTAATCATGTTCATATGTAAGATAATATAAAGTAAAGTAATACAAATTATAATTTTATATTTCTACTGTAACAGTTAAGGCTTTTAGAAATTCAAAGAGGCTGTATGTTGTCATTTGTAAATTGTGTCATATAAGCAGAGCAGATCCATTTGATATAATATCATAGTGACTGTGCTGCCACATGAAGGAGTTAAACATAATTCTCCTTTGTTTTTCACTCAAAAATAGTACAGATACATATTTGACCATGGATAAGTGATATCTAACTTACTTGTTTACCGATCACACCATCAGGTGATCAGGTCTATGACAATTTCAATAGACGAATTCGCACTAAAAACGAAGGCATTACAGTTGGTTTGAAACAAGTCGGAACATACAACCCAGTCACATCCCAGTCACATGTAGGTTACCCGATATTTGGTACAGGTAACAAGGTCGATAAAGCAACAATATATTTTACGAACTGCTGACTTAAATTGAGGGTATTGAAATTTCTGTAACATAAACATATTACTAGTTATAGATGCTCTTGAATTGCGAATAAGTTTGAAAACATAACAGCATATGCAGGTGAAAGTTGGATGTTAATAAATACATTAGGAAACTTGATTTAATAAAAGCTGGTATCTTGTTTGTCGTGCTATTTTGTTGTTACATAATAGTATGCCTAAATATTGAACAGTCAGTGAAACATCCAAATCTGAAACAGATTTGGCAGACTCTGGGATATATGAAGTAGACTTCTGAATGAAAACAACAAAAATTGTTATTTTATAATACTTTTGTTGAGATATATCTGATTGTCGAACCGAGAGCTACAGCATATGTTTTCTTCTCAGAAGATTTAAAATCAATTCTTCCCTATGAGGAAATAAAGACAGGGAGTCTTTTTAAAGGAGCACAGTTAGTGCCCATTAATATTCCAAAAGCTTTTTGGAAAACCTGGTCTTGCTATTGGAATTTTGTTGGGCAGTAACCTTGCTCCTTTAAAAAGGTGCCCTGTCTTCACATCCTGAATTGATTAACAATCTTCTATTTGAGAAAAAATCATATGCAGTAGCCTTTGGTTCGACATTTAGAAATAACAATTTTAGTTGTTTTTATTCATACATGGACTTGATGTATCCCAAAGTTTTCCAACTCTGTTTCCAGTTTGGAAGTTTTACTGACTATTGAATATGAGGGCTTACTATAAAGTAACAACGAAATAGTATGACAAATGAAATGACCAGCTTTTCTATGAAGATTCCTAATTCATTTAGTTACATTTTACTTTCACCTGCTTATGCTGTCATTTTTCAAGCTTATTTGCTACTCAATTTAGAGCTTTCTACGAGTAGGATGTTGATGTTATAGGAATTTCGATACCCTCAGCTTCAGTTGACATTTCATAAAATATATGATTGCTTTATCGACCTTGTTATATGTACCAGATATAAGCTAGTTAGCTCACCTGAGCTGAAGGCTCAAGTGAGCTTTTCTGATCGAAATTTGTCCGTTGTCTGTCGTCGTCGTTGTCGTTAACATTTCACATTTTCATCTTCTTCTTAAGAACCAATGGGCCAGTTTCAACAAAACTTGCCACAAAGTATTCTTGGGTGAAGGGGTTTAAAGTTTGCTCAAATAAAGGGCCACATCTTCTTTCTAAAGAGAGATAATTATGAAGTAGTGACAAATAAATGGCATACCGCTATTTTAAAAGTCTTCTGGAGAAACACTGGTTCAGAAAAGATGAAACTCATGTAGAAGCATCCCCTGATAGTGTAAATTCAAATATGACCCCCAAGTGTAGGGTGTGGCCTTGTTCAAATCATTATGTCTGGGGGTAAGGTGGGGCCACAATCATGACAATGGCGTATCAAAGTTTAACAAAGTAGGAATACATAGGAACAATCTTTCAAAAATCTTCATCTCAAGAACCACTGGGCCAGAAGAGATGAAACTCATATAGAATCATCTTCATGTAGTGTATATTTAAGTTTGTTCAAATCATGAACCCGGGTATAGGATGGGACCACAATGGCATGTCAAAGATTAACAAAGTAATACATAGGAAAAATCTTTTAAAAATCAAAGCGATTCAACATTCCTATGTAAATTGCACAAAGGTATATATTGGAATAAACATTTCATTCACTTATATAGAAATAATCTAATACAAAGAGTTATGAAAATGATAAGAGATAAGTTTTAAATATAACTTTCATTATAATTATATGTGTTAGTCCTGTACAATTGCACCGTGTTGAGTCATGCAGTCTATTCTTGAGATAGTGTTTTATTTTCTCTGCTTTGTCTACTTTTGTACAGCATCCTGCCTCATTCACACACCACCACCTGGTGAGACTGGGACACAAGGTAATAACTCAGGACGGCGGTAAAATGGGAGACAAGGTAATAACTCAGGACGGCGGTAAAATGGGACACAAGGTATTAACTCAGGACGACGGTAAAATGGGACACAAGGTAATAACTCAGGACGACGGTAAAATGGGACACAAGGTAATAACTCAGGACGACGGTAAAATGGGACACAAGGTAATAACTCAGGACGACGGTAAAATGGGACACAAGGTAATAACTCAGGACGACGGTAAAATGGGACACAAGGTAATAACTCAGGACGACGGTAAAATGGAACACAAGGTAATAACTCAGGACGACGGTAAAATGGGACACAAGGTAATAACTCAGGACGAAGGTAAAATGGGACACAAGGTAATAACTCAGGACGACGGTAAAATGGGATATTGTTATAATGTTTTGGAATATTACCAGATGGGAAGCTAGGGACTATCTTCCAAATTTAAGTAGTTTTATTGATTTTTTTTCTTTTCAAATAAGATTTCATGTGAATTTTTATTTTTTCCCAAAGTTTTGTCATTATATATACAACATTTCACCTTGCATATAATCCATGTACTAGAATGGCATGCTAACTTAATTGTATTTACGATCTTATGGGAACTAAAATTTTGTTGATTCATTATTCATGTTATTTCTATAGATAAACGAAAAGATCTAAATATTCCTGTACACTCTACCTGAATGTAGAAATCACACACAATAAAAACAATGTTTTTATTGCGTGTGCTTTCTAAATTCAGGTAAGTGTTATGCTTTTATAATAAACTTTTTAGGGACAAATTGTTCAGTGCAGCATCTAAGACTTGAAAGCTACTAGTCCAGGGTGAACTAATAAGTGTGTTTGATAAAGGTGCGTAAAAAACTCTCTCAGGGATCTAGCAGGCGGACATGATCTATTCCTTTTTAAAGATGATCCCTATTGAAGCATACTGAATTGAAAAATGCTGCTGTAAGATTTTTTATAGGTATATTTCTTGTGAATTAACCTGTTCAATGTATTTGATCTCTAAACGACGTTAGGTCATTTTATGTTTCCTGTTTCTAAGTGTCATTCCCAGAATGTTTCTAGCGTTTACAATCTCTTAAAAAAGAGTTTTTCATTGGAATAAAGAATGGAAATTACTGTTCTGCGATTTAAACTCCAGTTTTCAAGCCTCCACCTATCAGTAAGGGACACATACATGTATATATATACATAGATGTATATGCAAGATCCTATACATAAAAACGTTTTGATATATACTACCCTAAGTTCATGATTATATCAACGCTCACCTTACAGTATTAATGATTATTGTATTCTCTGTGGAAACTGCAGTCATATGTACATTAAGGTCAATATTAAGTACATGAAGAATTATAAGAATGATAAGAGAGAGGTAAGTCGGTATAATTATTGATATCAGTCCTGTAGAATTGTGCAATTCCTTGTTATAATTCTTTGTGACATGCAGTCCATTCTTGTGTCGGTGTGTTTCTTTTTCTCCTTCATCGTTTGTTGCTCAGCATTCTGTTACACATTGACACCATCACAACATGGGGCTCAAGGTAGGAGTTGGGGGGGGGGATTCATTAATGACTGTGATATCATTAACATGATTTGTATAAATTAACAGGGTTTATTCTTGAGAGTGTATGTAATGGATTGACAGTTTCTTTCAATGTAAGTAAATTTATTGGAAATTAGAGGTAATAAAAAAGGGTCAGGCCGGTTTCCTTTCATTCAGAGATGATTTTTTGGTGAAGTTAGTGAAATCTCAAAAGAACATTCTATTGAAGAACTATAAGGTCATGGCTATCACACATACAAAACTACTTAATTTTTAAAACAAGGGAATTAATAAGTAAACTGTTTATGAAGAGTTTTTTTTTTTTCAAATGTGTTATCTTATTTATCAATACTCTTTGTAGGAATACAGTGACTGGAATGAGCATCCTAGCCCATAATTGTCTGGATTTTTTTTAGTAATGTCCCCTAAAATTTCTAAGTGAACAAACTTAGATGCGATACGACGAACGTCGATGTAAGATGCACATCTGACTCATTTTCTTTTTTCAGCATCCAAACACCACTGTAATCTGAACGGCGTGGGTTTGGCGGCGGGAGAAACCTACACGAACATGACCAGCTGTCTTAAGTGTCACTGTGCTGAGAATCATTATGTTTTCTGTTGCTCGTATGTCATACTCAACTAAATATTCCTTTAGATTTTATTTATTATTCCCTCCAACATACAAGGGAATATACTGTATGTGTACTTTAAAAAGAGGGCTTCATATTTCAGCGGTTTTAGCGCAGACAACAATCCGCTAATTCATGAATACCGCTAAGAAATCATTTTCATATACAATACACTGAACGGACTTGTGTAATGCTGTTTCATGACTACGCTAATTGCTCCATACCCAGTGATTACGCTAAATTTTGAATACGCCAATTCATGTACACATACAGCGTGAACGCAATTATAAGGGTGTTTGTGTTTGTTTGTTCATTGTTGAGTGAGTTTATGCTGTGTGAAACAGAAATTCTTTGCATTTGGTTCAATGTCGACTATTCTCTTGATTTATAAAAATGCTGTTTGCAAGGAGTGCTTTTTAAACAGAATTTAATTTAACTTGAATTAAACGACTAATTTGAGCCTTTCTAGTGAATCATTTTTGAAACATAAATCCAGGTCCCGTTTTACTATAGAACTTACGACTAAGACCAAATTTCATTTGAATGTGAAATTTTGCAAAGTTTAACCATTGACTTAAAAATTGCCATCATGAAAATATCTGCCATCATTCCTTTCAGAAAGTTTAAAACCATTTTCAATTTATTTCAAATTATAGAAAGTTATATGCAGAATAAATTTTGGTCTAAGTCCTGTTTTTTTTTTTTTTTTTTTTTTGTAAAAAGTAAATTTACCTCATAAAAGTATATTTTTGTTAGATTTTAACTTGAATACGTTCACCAAGTGTGCTCCATATGTCTTATAATTAAACAGTTATAATAATAGAAAATACATTAAAAAAAAATTGTAAATGCAATCCCTTTGCATCGTTCACATTAATGGCGAAAACATCTCAGTTTATCTGATTTTAACAACATTTATTCATTGATTTATTTATCTAGAATGATTTCCAGTTACATGTTGCCAGAAGGTTGTGTCGTCATAACCAAGGACTGTGTTCAGGAGATTGTCTACGAATCTGACGGCTCTCAATGTCAGCCATTGGCGGCTGTAGGAAAATAACGTCACTAAATGAAACTGATGTCACTGTATAGCACATGTAAAAATTCTGAATAAAGGGTCTCATTTATTATTATCATTCTCTAGTTATGTATATCATATACTTGAATTATACCTCTGACCTGACTTTACATGCTGTAAATATTTTTTTATCATGTATCATATATTTTGAATGGTTTTGAGTAAATAACAAGAGACCCATGGGCCACATCGCTCACCTGAGAAACTTTGGCCATGCTGTTCTTTAACAGATTTCCTACCACCAGGGGTCATGATTTGGACAATTTATAATCTACACTACCCCAAGATGCTTTCACATAAGTTTCAGCTTTTCTGGCCCAATGGTTCTTGAGAAGAAGATTTTCAAAGATTTTTCCAATATATTTCTATGTAAAAATTGGATTCCCTATTGTGGCCCCACCCTACCCCCAGGGGTCATAATTTGAACAATTTAGAATCTACACTACCTCAGGATGCTTTCATATAAGTTTCAGCTTTTCTGGTCCTGTGGTTCTTGAGAAGATTTTAAAAGTTTTTTCCTATATATTTCTATGTAAAACTTGGATTCCCTATTGTGACCCCGCCCTACCCCCGGGGGTCATGACTTGAACAATTTAGAATCTAGACTACCCCAGAATGCTTTCATATAAGTTTCAGCTTTTCTGGCCCAGTGGTTCTTGAGAAGTTTTATTCAATTTTTTTAAAAGTTGTTTATCCACTCATTATTAGAGATTGATGTATCAATTCTGCTTGTATTTCCAGTTCATAATTCGCCTATAAGTTTCCAATATTTTTTTTGGTTCAGTTGAATCTAAAGCATTTAGGTTGTTGATGATATTACAATGATATATACTAAATTTTTGTTTTTGTAGTTTGTTATATATTCTATATGCTTTGTAATACTCCTTCTTAACATTGATATTTCTGGGGTTGTGGCCAAATAAAGTTCAATTTCTAATTAGTTCTGAGCGCATATTTATCAACTCATTATCAAACCATTTTTTTATGTTTAGCATAGTTTAAGTTAATTTTACATGTTTTATTTTTAGGTAAATTTGGTTTTAATGACACAATGGCTGCAGATTCCAGGGAATCGTTTAATCTATTTATTGTTGCTTCTATAGATTCTATGTCATTAATGCTCATGGAGTTATCAAAATTGTATTTTATTTTGGGGGGTTGTACATTATTATTATTTAAACTTTTTTCTCTATACGCAAAATCATGTTGATAAAAATATTCTATGATAACATACAGTGGCAGTCAGATAATGTGGAAATAAAATCCGATACTTCAAAAAACAAAACAAAAAAAACGTTGTATAATTTTTTCATCAGTTAAAAGATAATCAACAACACTGCTTCCATGATAATTATGGCAAGTAAAATTTCCAAAAAAATGTCACCAAATCATCTTCCATTCTAATTCGAAGGTGGTTTCCAATACAAAAATCTATTAGTTCTTTTCCTCTCTTATCCACACAAGTGTCCAATTAACTCTGTTGAAAATATCATTATCAATTTCATATGTTTCAAATAAGGGTAAATATCGGTTGTTATCATCTAGTATATAATTAGTTGCATTTCCTGTTCCAACATTATAATCTCCACAAGCATTATATTTCCTAAATCTTTAAATTGAATAATATCTTTCTGGTCAATTAAGTTCCGGAATATTAACATTATTTCGTGTTATTGCTAGTGATCCCTCGGGGGATTGTAAACAGTATACATATACAAATCTTTATAAATGGAACCTGCTCAGTTCCTAAAGCTAGAAGGATTGATCTTTTAATATTGGATGCTAACATGACAACACCATCTTGTGTAAGATGAACATTGTCCCTTTCAAGGACCTTGGCAGGCCTATTATTCAAACTTATTTGATTTTCGGAAATACAAATGAAAAAATGAGGCCTACGTGCAAGGGACAAAATTGTATTATGTAAGCAGTTTCACAACTGACATTTGTATATTTTTATTTCCAAATTATGATTTGTCTATTATTTGCACTGTAAATGACAATTATTTTGACAAATATAGATAATGAACCGATGGTTAAACTTATTATTAGTTTCCTATAAAAGAAAGACTCTACGCCTCTTATTCGTACATTGGACCTCGTAAAAATAAAGGTAAGTGCAAAATACTTCAATTTCTGTTATTCCTACATATCTGATAAGATAAATGTTAAGTTCGTTGTAAAGAATAGAAATTTGAAAGGCATTTTTACTCTTCATTCATTTTTGAATTCATTTTAAAAATTGATATCTTATATGCGAAGTTTCTATTGTATAATCTTCAGCTTAAAGGCTTCCTGTGTTATAATGTAAATTTGATTTGTTCATGTTTCATTTTAAATTATAACTATACTTTAACAAAAAGAAATTCATATCATATTGTATATATAAAATTATTCTTCAAACGTTTAATAAACAAGTCATTCCCTTATATAGAAATAATCTAATACAATGAGTTATGAAAATGATAAGAGATAGGTTTAAAGTATAACTATGGTTATACATGTGTAAATCCTCTATATCTGTAGAGTGAAGTGTAATGCAGTCCGTTCTTGTGATATTGTCTTATTTCCTCTGCTTCATCTACTGCTGTACAGCATACTGCCTCTCCTACCCACCCACACAAATACAATGTAAGAATTAAGAACGAATTTCAAATGTGATATTGTAATGTTTTAAGAATGTTTATTTTCAAAGGGGAGGGTAATTGTAGTATGTTTTAAATTTAAGTTAAAAAATTATTGATTTCTATTAAGTTTTTGTTTGGACTTTTATTGTTTTCCACTGTAACATCATTAGATATATATTTGACCATAAATTTGACCATGTACTAGAATTACATTCTTATTATATATTATCGATCTTAAGGGGACTGACTCTATGTTTGGTCATAATTATTATGGATAAAAGTATAGATCATCATATTCACACAGTTGTACACTCTGCCAGAAAATTTTATAGATAATATGCAATCAAAAGTTATGCTTTTATAGTCCTTTTTAAGAAAAAATATATTACTGCTGTAAATGAGCTTTACATGTAATTCACTGATACCATCTATCCATGGGCGTCGGAAGCAAATTGAAAGGGGGCGGGCAATTTGAAGTGGAGGGGGGGGGGCTAAACCCCCAAAAAGGTAAACCCCAATTTTCAATGCATAGAATACGAGGGGTGATCAAAAAATTCGCAAACTAATTGAATAACTTTTAAAATATTTTTCAAAGTGAGATTTTGAGTTTATCCTTTTTCAAAGTAGGCCCCTCTAGCTTTTATGCACTTTTCCCATTGGTCTGCCCATGCGCGAAACACGTGATCCAAGCCATAACGTGACATGACCCTTAGCACCTTGTTCACAGCAGTACCAAGATCTTCCCAGGACTCATATTTTTCTCCCCGTAGGTTATCTTTCAAAACTGGAAATAGTCAGAAGTCACAAATTGCCAAATCTGGGCTGTAGGGGGGATGAATTAGGTTTTCTATACCCAGTGTTTCCATGGTGTCCATCACAACCCGACTTTTATGGCTAGGTGCGTTATCATGGTGCAGAATGAATCCAGATCTTATCAGATCTGGGCGCTTTCTCTTTACTGCTCTCATCAAATCTGATTTGATAACCCGTGCATATTAGTCCCCAGTAACTGAAGTTTTGGGTAGTACCATGTGATTTAGAATTATACCGTTGATGTCACAGAAAACTATGAGCATAACCTTCCCTGCTGACTTGGTTACGCGTGCTTTCATTGGTGATGACGAGGAAGGATGCTTCCAAATTGAACTTTGTTGTTAACTTTCTGGCTCATAGAAATGTACCCAAGTTTCATCACATGTGATGATTCTATTCATGAAATAATTTTGTTCTTTTTCATATCTACTAACGTAGGACCGGCACGCATTCACTCTCACCCTCATTTGCTCTGCAGAAGGAGGCGAGGGACCCATCTCGCACAAACTCGCCGCATGTTAAGCTTACTCGTTAAAATCTCTTGAACTGTTCCATAAGACATGCTAAGATCATTAGCTATTTCCCTAATCGTAACTCTTCGATCTTTCATTACATATTGTTCAACCTCAGACACGTTTATCTCGGTACTTACGTTCAGCGGGCACCCAGATCTATCATCATCTTTCACCGTCTCCCTACCCTCTATAAAACGTTTCATCCACTTACTTATTGTATCTTTTGAAAGCCCACATTCCCCATAAACTTTATGTAAATCATCGTATATTTCTGTGAAGGATTTACCTAGTTTTACATAAAATTTTATTATAGTTCTTTGTTCAAGTACGATTGACTCATCCATTTTCGTCACAGTCGCCTCTATATTGATGTCATTTTAACATCATGACGTCATAATTATGACGCACATTTCAACATGACTCGTACTGCATAAAGCACATGTTTAGGGCTATATTTGTGACAAATTTCATTCTTACCAGAACTGTAGTTAGGTAGATAGAGAAGTAGTTTGCAAATTTTTTGATCACCCCTCGTATATATTGGCAAAAAAAAGCCTAAGTTTAAGATTTACGAGTCAATATACTTTATTGTTAAAATATTCTCTTGAAAACTGCATTAATACATTAAGGTAAATGTTAAATTCAAGAAGAATTATATGAAACATAAGAGAGAGGTAGGTCAGTAAACTATCGATATAGGTCCTCTAGAATTTTGTGTTTCTTTCTTATAATTCTTTGTGTTATGCAGTCCGTTCTTCTGTCGTTGTTTCTTTTTCTCCTTCATCTTTTGTTGCATAGTGTAGTGTTACACATCGACGCCATCACAACAAGGCACGCAAGGTAGGAGTTGGGGGGATTTCATTAATGATTTCGACATCATTAACTTGATTTCTACTTGGTTTGAAATCATTTCCTGAGGAGTATAACAGATTGACAGTTTTTTTTTTATTTATTGGAGATTTAAGGTAGAGTGTAACAATGCAATAGACCATGTTTCCTTTCACTAAGAGATTAGAATTCGGTGAAGTTAGTGAAATATCACAAGATCATTCTTCAGTAGAACTACAAGGACTAAAATATCATACATTGACTGTTTATTATACAGAAGTACAGACGTGCTATACAAGAACAATATTTGTTATAAGGAAACTTGAAAAGTAAATATTACATGAAGACACTTTTTGTAGTTGTTAAGTGCCGTGACTCATGGAAGAAAAACAATCAAGAAGGATATGGAGATATCGAACAGTATTCAATCTCAGAGTCCATAAAACAATACAAAATAAGAGCAGAGCAAACACGGACCCCCGAAACATCAGAGGTGGGATTCGGTGCCATGGAGGAGTGAGCATCCCCTGCTGGCCGGTCACACCTCCGTGTGCTAGCGCTCCTTGTCATGATCAGGAAATAACGGAAAACCCATCGTCAATTCAGTGTATAAATAATAGATTAACAATTGGTATGAAAAACGACAGTCAGCATTTAACTCAATGATAAATTGTACTTGCTGACAAGGTCATTGCATTGACCATAAAACTTACGAAATGATAAGAAATGAGTCATAACACACTGGTCTTATGTTTTTGATTATGACCGCAGAATTGTTAAATGCGGTACTTAAATGTGCTATGACGAACATCTACATGCACGTAGGATGCATATATGATTCTTGTTCTCTTTTCAGCATCTAAACACCACTGTAATCTAAATGGCGTGGGTTTAGCGGCCGGAGAAACCTACACGAACACGACCAGCTGTCTTAAGTGTGAATGTGATGAGAACCATTATGTTTCCTGCTGCTCGTATGAAACTAATCTAAATATTCCTAAATATATTTCATTTTTAATTCCCTCCCAACAGACTTAATTAATTGGTGAGTGAGTTTTTGCTGTGCGAAATGGAAGTGAAATTATTTGCATTGGGATTAATGTCGAATACTGTCTTGATTTATAAAAATGTTTTTTTGCGAGGGGAAGCTTTTTTTCAGCAGATTTTATCTGACATAGCATTTACTTAAATTACAAAAATATCTTATTATATATTATTTTTGAAAACATAAATCTGTGTAAATTTGATTTATGAAAATGCTATTTTTTGTTAAATTTTACCTTGCATATGATTACCTCGTGTTGATTTTTTCTTTAAACAGTAATGTTTAATAGATACATTATAAGTATTTTTAAATATAATTCCTTTGAATTGCTTACTTGCAAAGATGGCGAAAAAAAAGTCCCTCACCTTTTTCATTAAAAATACAATGTATAGGTATATTTTATATAAACAATATATATCGTATTTATTTAGAATGACATTCAGTTACGTGCTGCCAGAAGGTTGTGTTGTCATAACCAAGGACTGTGTACAGGAGATTGTTTACGAATCTGACGGCTCTCAATGTCAGCCATTGATGGCTATAGGGAAGTGACGTCACTACATCACTGAATGAAGCACACCACCGAATGAGACGCAAAGTCGTAGATACATGTGAAATAAAATTGAATAAAAGAAAAAAAAAATAAATTGTCATGCTGTACATTCTTATAGTTTTTTTTTCGTTGGTTCTTCTACCCTTGTGCAACATCCTGTCATAATTTAATTCTGGTTGTAACGCTGTATTTGATTGGATAAAAAATTTACTTCATATTGTATAAAATGGGTTGTCTACGTCACAATGACTTACGTCAAAAACGTATCAATCCGCCTGAAGTTACATTCAAATTTTGTACACATTGAAGTCATTTTGTTAGAACAATCATCTTTTTTTCTTACATCAAATGAATGAAAATTAAATTATAAGCAATGAATTTAATAGCTACCCATTTTATACGGTATAAACTGGGTTGGAACAGTTTACGCTTTTTTATAAACCGCTTCGCGGTTTATAAAGCGTAAACTGCCCCAACCCAGTTTATACCGTATAAAATGGGTAGCTATTAAATTCATTCCTTAATTAATTAAGAGAATATTCAAAAATGAAGGCTTACAAAGATTGTTTTATAAAAGTCTAAAGTCAAAATGCTCACACAAAATCCCTTCTTGTTATCAAAGTCCCTAATCCAGAAGCCATAAATTTAACATTAATTTTTATACAATTCTATGCATAAGCATTCATCATACTAAAGCAATTAGAAAGTGTGCTTTTAAAAGTTGAACTCAGTAGCAGTCATTAGCACAGATTTGATGCATTTTTTACTATATGATGTAGAATAGTTTTGCCTGTCTAGCTAATAGTCCAAAGGGCCACAGACTTCAGAATGAACATAGTTGCATTCTTTGCATGACTTTAAGTTATATTGAAATCCCTGATTTCAGAATGTTTGATAGGTTCAAGTTTGAACTGGAATATCACAAGAAGCATGTAATGCTTGAGGGGTTAAAATGTATTAGAAAATATTCTTAGGAAAATTGATATATCATGCTCAAAACATCCCCTGATCATGCAGCGATTTTTAGCATTGTTGCAACCACTATTAGAATAACGATCACTATTTAAGTAATTATTTCAATAGCAGTTGATAATGCATTTCAGTAACAACACAGTATGCAACCACTATTGAAATACGACCACTTTTAGAATAATTATTTAAATAGTGGTTTGGAGTGCATTTCAATACCAAACATAGGTTGCAACTACTATTGAAACTAGAAAAGAAACTCGTTGCGAGCAACGAGAGGTCTTCCGTCCGATTCTGAAAAAAAAAACCCTTCAAAATCGAGCTGAAAAAGTGATAAAACTTTCATGGAAACAAAGGGGATTGAACCCGGGTCGCCAGCATGAAAATCCAAAGCGCTTACTATTACGCTATTGGGACCACAGCTCTAAATCTACTTTTATATATTTCTGAATAATGAAAGGCGGTTACTATTAATATTTTTGCGCCAAACGCCACTAGTAAATCTTTGCGCCTTTTCTTTGGAATGTCCAATTAAATAGGTGTTATAGCTTCAATGGAAATAAAAAAAAAAGAACGTTCTTATAGCTAGAATTTCAAGGTAAAGAAATTGTTTTTAACACATTTACAATTCTATGCATAAACAGATTAGTAACACTAAATCAGCGAAACTGCTATAATTTTT